TATGTTGTGGTTGATGCTTGAGATTTTTCAAACACTATTATATTTGCTTATGCAGGTCTCAATAACAATCGAAACTTCAGAAACTGTAAATCGGAGATTTGTCCACCCTTCTGGAAAGCATTCCCCCACAATCACAAAGGTTTTTACTTTTTGGCCTATGGAGTGCTAACAGCTTTAATTTAGTTGATGAACTGCACATTTTTAATTTCTCATGCTTGATGCCGCTAACGCAACAGTCTTGAGAATTTCATTATTTTCTTGGAGGAAGGTCAGATTTTGTAGATAGCTCTTTCTTTTTTTTGGTTAAGAATAATTGGCATTTTTTTGAAGCCTCTTCATGTTGCCTTGGCTGAAAGATTCGTTCATTTAGTAGGGGTTTTCCGCTTTTCCCCACATCGTGGTGAAAGTTCATCTAGTGTCTTTGTTGCCTTTGCAATAGAAACGTTAATTTAGTAGTTTTTTTTCTACTTCTTGTTTTCTTCTTGCTTTTTTCCCCCTTAAAAATGAAATTTCATTTAGTGTCCTGTGTCAAGTCTTTGTGAAAAATTGAAGATGAGAGCTGACTCACGATATCACCATTAAGTTCTTTCTAGGAGCATATGCTAATGATGTTGGCTTCTGATACATTTGTTCTCACTTGTTTTTCTTAGGTCCAGAGTGACCATTATGAAGTTGTTGCAGATTTGGTGCTGACAAGTTTTCTTTTCTCTATCCCCGTCAATAGTCCAATGTCATTCTCCACTCCTCGTGTGCCAGTGCAATGGGTTCTTAGTTTTGAATTTTATGCCACTCCAAAGAATTTGGATTGGACCAAGTATGCATTTCGACCTTGCCTTTTTTTTCTTTTTTTTTTGGTTAAGCCCTAAAACACAATTTTCCATTCCTTTATGCATCTGGTTTCTACATGCACTAGTCTCTACGGCTGGACCCATTTTTATCAATCAGTCTAGGCATTGTGTTCATGTGATGTTGAACCATCAATTTTCACATCTTTATGTAATGTTGAGCCTTCATGTTTTAAATTGTAGTTGGCAGCACGCCCGGCACCCTTGTGATTAGGGCTTCTGGTGCCAGCGCATGCCAACTTTGCCAGTGCAATATTCATTGGAGACTATAAAAGGACATATCCCACACCCAACGATTTAAACTGCTACTAAAACTCAACCATTTTCTATATATATGTAGACGACATGAGGTATTTCTCACTTTCTCATGTTCCTCACAAATTCACAAATAATAAAATGGCACAATCCACATGCAAAGAGTATGGAAAGTTGTCAAGTCTCTGTGCTTCTGTGCTACATAAATTGTTCAAAGAGAAAAGAAGGATAATAATGATGGGAAAACGAGACTTGATGTGAGAGAGAACAAAAATACAGAACAGTGGTTGGAGTTGCTGCCTACTGAAGGGAGGACATAATCAGAAGGATGGAAAGGAATAATAAGGGATGAAATACAAGAAGGAAAAATTAGAGAAAATTACACACAAGTCCCATAGAAGACAATTAATTTAGAAAAATTCCCTTGAAATTCTCAAATATTTCCTAAGCCCCCAGGAACCTGTGTGTAATAAATTGTAATTATAATATTACCTATTTATTCCCATTAATTTACAACCTCAATAGTGGTTAAGGAGAAGCGGTTAACAATCTCGACAATACCCCTGACAACTCATCTATAGAGTTGTCAGGGGTACTGCCGAGGTTGTTAACCGCTTCTCCTCGAGTTATCAACAGTTACTGTTGAGTTTGTCAATAAATTGCATTGGATTCAAATTAATGAGGGTAAATAGGTAATATCACAATTACAATTTATTACACATAGGTCATTGGGGACTTAGGAAACATTTGGGGATTTCGAGGGACTTTTTTTGAATTAATCCTCTTCTATGGGACCTGTGTATAATTTTTCCATATAAGAAAGTCAGTTTTTTTTGGGGGGGGGTGTGGTTGGTGTTGTGACAAAGGGCTGGCTGAATGAATGGAGAAAAATATTTTTGAACCCTATAAAAATACCGAGAAACACCTAAGTTCATACTGTCACAATTTTACTTGGTTTGACTCTGTCAAACAAAAATGTTAACACTGCAACTGTAGAATTGGCCAGCTGTCTATGGCAGTTGACAACAAACGTTTGTTTGCACATGTAGAAGGCTGCCCTTAAGCCCTCAACAATTAACTGTGTGATGATAGATAACATATGATTATATATATTGATATCATGATGCATGGCCAGGAAAACACAGAAGCCTGCCCTTTCATCTGTTTCGATATCTCATGGAATGAAATAAGAGGGTTTAATAGCATTCTTAGTTTTAAAGCACTTTGAACTTTTGAATTAGCCATTGATTGTATTTTAAGCCATATGCTTTCTGAACCACAGGTATGAACATCCTCTTCTGATTGAGGGAAGAGAAAAATGTGAATGGGTTCTTCCGATTACAGTGCACGCACCTCCATCTAGGACTTCTGGGACAAGAACTGAGAAACCTGTCTCTCTGGATCCCTTGTGGGTGCATAATTAAAGGTATAAACAAATGTTTGATTCACTCTGAGCTATGTACAGTGGTGCTGAAATTCAAGATTATAAGAGTACAATATTTTTATTTTCTGTTCTATTTCTAATTTGCCTTTTGTAGTTGGATGATTGTTATGATTCCATTGGTACTTGATTTTGATTATGCTGTGAATCAAGATGGATATGATAGTCTCAGCTCATTTATTTTGCTTTACACATGGATCAAGGCTGAACACGGTGGACATGAATAAAACAAACTAGAATTCCAGCTAAAACTTTCTAAGTGTTCTCTCTGTTTTTTTATTAATTGTTTAATATAATTAAACACAAATACATATACAAATATGTCAACGTCAAACTTGAATTCGGGATCTCATCTAAGTATGGGGAGCGGTGTTGTGACTAGGGCAGCTAACCTTTAACCTTCTTACCGTGCTCTTGTCTATTATTACTATTATTACCAGCAACAAAATCTGATTCTCTTTATTTGAATCTAATTCAAGAAAAATTGGAGCAAATATACAATAGTAACTACTCCTCCAATCCTTAATATAGGACCCAATTTTTGAATTGGTTTTGATCTTAAATATAAGACCCATTTCTCATATTTATCAGTTTTTTCTAAATTATCCCCATAGATACTTCCTCAACCATAATCAAGTAGAAAAAGAAAAGGGGTATTAAGAAAGATAATTATGGTGTTTTAGAAAAAATGTATCACTTTTCTTATAATTAACTAACTTACCTAGCTTCCTTAATCTAATCAAATTAGTTAAATGGGTCTTATATTAAAGACTGGAAGAGTATTTATCAAAAACGAAAAGATGTAATAGTAAGCATACTAATAAATCCAGTAAAACAATCTTTTTCATCAAATGTTTGATACCGTAACAAAAAATGATGGATATTGTAATTTTCTCTTCTATCATTTCAACTTGATCGTTTTCATTACATAATTTGTCATAGAATTTGCAAATAAGATCCCTTTGCCTATGCAATGTAATGGAATGCAATGCTATGCAATGCAATGTTAATTACCATAAATTTGTTTGGTTTGTTTCTAAGAAGGGGTTAATTTTTGTATTTAATTAAACAGACACAAAAATAGAAAGACCAAAGTAGCCCTATCTAAAAACAATTCCTTAGCCCCTCCTCTTTCCTGATCAGTAGATCAAGGAACATTTTTGCAGAAAATTTCCCTCTGTCCTCATTAGCAGACCAATGAACAAAATGTAAAACGAGTGAATGAAATTGGAAAGCAACTTTCATCATGAAAGGATGATCAAGGAGACCAATCTTTGCCCAAGAAAAAAAAGACATTGGAGGCTCTCAACAACTCTTCCAATCCTGTTCCTGAAAATCTAATTAATCTGGCTCTTCACAAATAGAGAGGTGTGATTCAGAAATCTAGTCCCACATGACAAAACATGGAGTTAGAGATGGGGCAAGGACGTGGCGGCTAGGTATGATGGCGACGACGGCATTCATGATGGTCAAGTCTTCGCGGGCAATGGGGGTGTGGTGCAATGAGCGGCGAATTGTAAGAGGGGGAGGAATGAAGGAGATGACTGAAACAAATGAGACTGAGTGCAAACCAGACTTTTTCGTACATATAATGGATGGTAATGGGTATTCATGTGGGGGAGGTATGAATGAGGATTACCAAAATTTTGGTAATAAGCATTACCATGGGAAATGATATTACCATGCTAATGACCAACCAAACATCCCTCTCCTGGTAATACAATACTGATTACCATTGCAGACCTGTAATGGGGTTAAACCAAACAGGCTCTAAGTTTTTTTTTTCTAATCCAATTTTGTTACTCCTCTGGTCCTTAATACAAGACTCATTTAGCTAATTTGATTAGATTAAGAAAGTTAGGTAAGTTAGTTAATTATAAGAAATGCGATACATTTTTCCTAAAATACCATAATCTTCTTCTTAATACCCCCTTTTCCCTCTTCTCTACTTGATTTTGGTTGAGGGATATAGGGATAATTTAGAGAGAATTGATAAATATGATAAATGGGTCTTATATTTATGACTAAAACCAACTTAAGAATTGGGTCCTATATTAAGGACAGGAGGAGTATCATCATAACGTGATTGAACAAAAAGAAAATTTGTGTATTTTTTCTCAATTGTTTTCCCCCTTATTTTATTTGTTCCTCTCAATTTTAATTGCCGCTTTACTGAAAAGCGAAATATTTAATTGGAAAGAAGGAACAACGGTACTTTATTCTCCAACTTGCTGACAAATGTTAAAACAAGATATTTTTATTCATACACATAAAATCACTCTCAGATTACATGAACTAGTTGACATATAATACATAAATCGCACGCAAGAATCACATAATTTTAGATGAACATCGTGAAACTAAAAGCACGAGCAACAATGACGATTAACATTTGCGACTGGATCTTGGAAAATGTTGGCTGCAACCTCATCATTGGTATCGATTTGCAAATGCTAGCTTCATTTGATTTGATTTTTGGCATCATCTTGATCGACTTGGTTGGCTTTGCCTACTAAATCACTGAACCAAGGATCACAGCATCCATAGATTAAAACAACAATGATCCTAAGAAATAAGCCTACGATTTGCTTAAGTACGGGACGGCGACTTCCAAGTGGAATGAATCCTAAAATACGAATAAACATCATTAAGAAAATGGAAATGAATCCAATGACACTGATAACGTCCGCAACAATAGTGTTATTGCTCACAATCAAACGTATAGCAGCCAGAAATGCAACGGGCATTGCTATAAGGGCCACATAAACAAAGAACTTAGCTTGGATGTATGCTAGTGTTGCAAAACGAAGATCTCCACCTGGGACCCACAGAAGAATGATAGAGCCAATGGTGGAGCTATACATAGCAACAGTGTTAAAAGCCATGAATATCTTGAATAGTGTTTGATCAGCCAAAAGTGCCATACCCTTTTGTTTTGGGATTGGGCCATCCGCTGAGTAAAACCCACCTGGTACAGTGAAACCAGCTGCAAATGTCACTGTCGCTGTGAGTATGGCCACAAGTATGAGTGTGTTGGCTGCATCCTTTACATTCCATTCTTTATTGATGGATCTTGTGAGTGGCACGCTCAGCATATTTGCCTTCAAGTCCACACCAGCATTATATAAAATTAGACGTGCTAGAAACTGCAAGGTAGTCAAATCAAACAGGCTTACATGTTATATTCTATTATTAAGAAAAGAAGCGTCTGGAATAAAAAGCTTTAAGAAAGTTAATTAATAAAAAGAAGACATAGATGCTTGTCAATCTTACCTCTTGACGTGTCTCTGGAATCCTACATTGCGTCTGAACAACATCTCGAGCTGTTAAGCCTTTGTTATTGACTAGATTCACATCGATCCTTTTGTCCTGTGATAGAAGGAGTAGACTCCAAAGACGCAATTCTCTTGAAGCCAAATGTAAGGGAGTATCTCCGTTTACATCTCTCTCATTGATAGTGTCATGATGAATGTTGGGATGCTTCAGTAGATATTTTATCACGCGAGTCCGTCCCTTCATTGCTGCAATGTGAAGAATGTTCTGACCTTTATTATTCAACCAAAGTCCATCATTAGGCCACTCTATTTCAAGCAACTTTTTGACCACTTTAACATTGAACTTTTCGCAAGCGAGGTGAATTGGGAGATTGCCATCTGAGTTTCGTTGAAAAGCAATCATGGGAGATGTTTCTAACATTATACAAACTCCTTCCATGTAACCAGAGTAGGCTGCATAATGAAGGGGAGTGTTGTTGTTCTCATCTCTTTGATACAGTAACTCTTTTCTCGTATCAACAATCTTTTTCAATAGATCTTCACACATAAAACAAAACATATTAGGAAAAGGTGAAACAAACATGAACTTAATTATTTCACTATAGTATGCTTACCTTTGGTTCGTTCTAATATTGCAGCATGAAGTGGAGAGTCGCCATTTGACATGGCTTTGCCTGAGGGGATTGGAATTAACCTCAAGAGAAGATAAAGAATATTCTCATCCCTCATCAGAACTGCTAAATGCATTGGCGATTTACAATCATAATAATAGTTCCAGGTCCAATAGGTGGCCAGATCACTTTGCTTATGTGCAACTAAAAGGGAAAGAACCACAGAATAATCCTTACTCAAAACAGCTTCATGCAAAGCTGTCCTCCCATAATTGTTGCGTAACATAATAAACTCCGTTCTATCCACAGAGTCAACCCAGTGGGATGTCATGAAATGTTTTTCCATGTCCAGAATGTTCTTAATTGCCAAAAGATTCTTCGCTCTTGCAGCAACGTGAAGCGGAGTATCACCTTTCATATTTGTCCTGTACAAAAGCTTAGGATAGTGAAAAGCAATAAGACATAAAACTTGTTCACTTCCATGTTCAGCTGCAACATGAAGTAACGAGTCACCTGTGGGAGTGACATGATTGAAAATAGTGGCCAAGTCAACATGATTTTTCTCACATATTTGCTCTAGTACATGAACAAATCCATCCGCATCTTCATTTTCATCACGAGCCGCCTGGTACAACTCATAATACATAATATGTACCATGTGGCCACAAAATGGCATATCAGCAACCGATGAACCAAACTGCTTTTCCATCAGTTCACGCATCTTTTCATTGCCACAAGATTGTACATCATCAACTGATGAACTGCCCAGCTTATTCATCACATTAGGAATCTTGTTGCTGCGAAGAAATGCCATATCATCACGTAATTGCATTTCCGTGAGCTCACTCGTCACTTTGCTGCTAAATGCACTGGACTGCGGATTTGTTGCAGCCTAATGGAGTAATATTGGAAGCAAGACAAAATAAAGGAACAAGAAGAGAGCATAGTGACGGAGGCACAGACAGAATATTGTATAATGCTTCTTGTATATTTGTGTACAGTAACCAACGCTATATATAGAGGACATTGTCCATTACAAATGAAACACGTGTAAAGGTAAGACTCAGATACAGATGAGCATTTCTATCTACTTGACATTGTGGGTTTGCTTTTGGGCCTTGATGGATGGGCTTCAATACTCCCCCGCGAGTCAAGCTGGGCTGGAAGCACAGTGAGACTCGAACGCAGAGTAGCAAAGCGCGAGGCGGGCAAAGGCTTGGTTAGAATATCTGCAATTTGATCTTTGGAAGAAATGTGTAAAACATGAATAAGACCAGCAGCAAGTCTTTCACGAACAAAGTGATAGTCAAGAGAGATGTGTTTTGCCTTAGAGTGAAAAACAGGGTTGGCAACGAGATAGGTAGCACCCAAATTGTCACAGTACAGAAATGGTGCTTCAGGGAGATAGATGTGAAGTTCATGGAGTAGGTGTTGTAGCCAGATAACCTCACTGGTTCCTGTGGCAATGGCCTTGTATTCAGCTTCGGTGCTTGAGCGAGCAACGGTTGGTTGTTTTTTTGAACTCCAGGCAATGAGATTTGGGCCAAGGTAGATGGCAAAGGCCCCTGTTGACCGAGAGTCATCCGGGTTGCCGCCCCAGTCAGCATCAGAGAAAACAGAGAGAGTAATAGAATTGGAGGGCTTGATATGAAGGGCAAGGTGAGATGTTCCTCTAAGGTACCGTAAAATGCGTTTCACAGCAGTCCAGTGGTGTTCTTTAGGATCATGCATATATTGACACACACGGTTGACGGCAAAAGTAATATCGGGGCGGGTAAAGCTGAGGTATTGAAGACTTCCAACAATGCTTCTATAGTGGCTGGGGTCAGGAAAATTAGGTCCAAGGGAGGCAGTGAGGGTGGAACCAGATGCCATAGGAGTGGAGACAGGGCGAGCTTTAGACATGTTTGCTTTTTCAAGTAGATCCAGTATGTATTTTCGCTGGGAAAGAATGAGACTAGATGAGGATGAGATGACCTCAACTCCCAGAAAATAGTATAGTGGACCAAGATTTTTAACAGGGAAGGAGAGACTCAGTGCAGCAATCAGGGCTTGTACAGCAGAAATGGATGAACCGGTAATAATGATATCATCAACATAGATTAGAACATAAATGGTGCATTTGGAGGTATGGCATATAAACAAGGACGAATCAGATTGAGAGGAAGAGAAACCGAGTTCGGTGAGTCGGGTACTCAGTCGAGCATACCAGGCACGGGGTGCTTGCTTGAGTCCGTATATGGCCTTGCGCAGTTTGCAAACATGGTTTGGGTAGGTAGGATGAACAAACCCAGGAGGCTGTTGCATATAGACGTCTTCGGTGAGAAATCCATGAAGGAAGGCATTCTGAATATCAACTTGATGGATGGGCCAGCCCTTGGAGACGGCAATGGCAAGGATGAGGCGAACAGTGACCGGTTTAACAACTGGAGAGAAAGTGTCAACAAAATCAACGCCAGGCTGTTGATGAAACCCTTTTGCAACGAGTCTTGCTTTGAATCGGTCAAGAGAGCCATCAGCAAAGTGTTTGGTCCGAAATACCCATTTGCAACCAACAATGTTCATTGAAGGGGAGGAAGGTACTAGATCCCATGTGTGGGTGGAGAGAAGAGCTTGATATTCGGCCTGTAAAGCTTGTCGCCATGCTGGTATTCTGATGGCCTGAGAAACAGAGGAAGGTACAGGAGGTGCGGATAACGAGGCGCAGTGAGCTCGTGGAGGTATATGAGAGATAAAGTCAGGAGGGAGGGGCTTGGGTTTGAAGATGTTCGCTTTGGCTCTTGTGAGCATAGGATGGGATGGCTGGGCAGGTGGCGGTGTAAAGGCTGAGGGGGCAGTAGAAGACGGCGATGGTACAGAGGAGATAGAAGGAGACGAAGAAGGTAGAGGAGACGAAGAAGGAGTAGGGTTTGGTGAAAGGGTGGGGCCTTGGTGTGGTGAGAGGACGAGACTAGTGGTACTGGGCCTAGCGGAAGATGGATTGGGCTGGAAAGGAAGAGGAATAGTAGGTTGAGTTGAACTGGAGAGCAGCGTAGAATTGGGCTCACCAGTGACCAGCTGGCCATGAAAGGGAAAAATATTTTCATCAAAGATAACATCTCTGGACGTGTATATTCGGCCTGTAGGAAGATGTAAACAAAGATAGCCCAAATGATTGGGAGCATAGCCAAGAAATACGCATAGATGAGATCGGGGAGCCAGCTTATGAGGTGCATATGGTCTTAAATTGGGCCAGCAACCTGCACCAAAAACTCTTAAAAATCGGTAATCAGGCTTCTGTTTGTAAAGGACTTGAAATGGACTTTTGTTATTTAATACCGGGCTTGGCAGTCGATTAAGTAGAAAGGAGGAAGTGGAGAACGCAAAGGTCCAGTAAGCTTGGGGAATGGAAGCGTGATGCATTAGAGCAAGACCAGTTTCAACTATGGTGCGATGTCGCCTTTCAACTGTGCCATTCTGAGTGTGTGTGTGAGGACAGGTGATTCTGTGAATGATGCCAAGGGAAATGAGATCTTTGTGAAGGGAGCGAAATTCACCCCCCCAGTCCGATTGAAAGGAACGGATTTTGGATTGAAAAAACGTTTCAACCATGGACCGAAACTGATGAAATACAGTACGCAATTCATTTTTTGTTCGAAGGGGATATAGCCAGATATAACGAGAGTAATCATCAACAAAAGATGCATAATATCTAAAACCATTTACAGACACAAGAGGGGATGGACCCCATACATCACAAAAGACTAATTGAAAGGGAAACTTGGAACGGTGAGGAGAGGGAGGAGAGGGAAGACGATGACTTTTTGCTGTTCGACACGCAGGACATTGATGATGTTGAATATGAGAACCGGTAACTGGGAGGTTATTGGAGTGGAGAACTTGTTGAACAACACGGAAGGCAGGATGACCAAGTCGGTGGTGCCAGTGAAGAGGAGTGGTACGAACGCCAAGGTGAGCTTGAGGAGAAAGATGGTACAGTCGTCTAAGACTCGGTCCTTGAAGAAGAGGTGTTCCTGTTTCCTCGTCCTTCACACAGAAATAGCCAGAGTGAAATTCAAAGAAAACATTGTTATCATGACAGAATTGATAGACCGACAACAAGTTTTTAGAGACGCTAGGAACATGTAAGAGGTTAGAGAGATGATATTTGCCAGTAGGAGTTTTAAGAATGCCAGAGCCTTGATGATGAATGGCCATTGGTGAGCCATTGCTCACAACGACGGAGTCATTGCCACGATAAGGTGCTGATTCCAGATTGAGCTGGGACAAGTCGTTGGTCAGGTGATGAGTGGCACCAGTGTCTGGATACCAGAGAGAGCTGTCCATGTTGGAATATTCTGAGTAGTGGGCCGCAAGGGACGGACGTGGTGGAGCCTGCAGAGCATTGTTATTTCTTTGCGCACAGGTGAGGGCGGTGTGACCATAACTGTCACAGAGCTGGCAGGGCACCTCTTCGTCAGGTTGGAAAGCAGAAAAAGGGGAGCGAAAAGCTGGGTAGCGTCCTCTTCCCTGAAAAGAACGGTTGGGACCACTTCCTCTGTAGTAACCACTACGCGTACGACCTCTTCCAAAGAAGTGGGGACCACGTCCAAAATTGGTGAAACCGCGTCCAGAACCAACCGAGCGTCCTGCTCTGCCTCCTCGAAACGTGCTCGGGAACCTGTTGACAGCATTGGCAGCAAATTCAGTAGGTAGTGAAACAGAGTGTTGCTGGTTAAGGCGTTCTTCAAAGGTTAGGAGATGACTCAGGATTCCTTCAGTGGTGAGTAAGGCACGCTGAGTAGCTAGCACTGTGACTATAATGTCAAAGTCAGGTCCGAGACCGGCTAGCAGATAAGTAACAAAATCTTCATCAGCGACTGGTTTTCCTGCTGCAGCTAAGGAGTCTGCCAATATAGTGGCTCGTTTGTAGTATTCATTAATGGTTTCTCCTCCTTTTTTTAGATTGGTAATTTGTTGGTGGAGGTAAACCAGGCGAGCTTGAGTTTGCTGTGAAAAGGATGTTTCTAAAGCCAACCACATAGCACGTGAGGTTCTATGTTTGATAAACTGGGGTATGATTTTTTCTGAGAGAGAGGCAAGAAGAATGGAAAGTACGAGTTGGTCTTGTTGGAACCAGGATTTTGTTACTTCAATCAAAGGCAATCCAAAAGATAAATCTCGTACTTGATCACCCGATTCAACTTAACTTCAGCGTTAGGTAAACCTTTGCGCTTTATAGACATTAAACAATTCAAGTGAATGCAACTATACAACTTTCAGCTTATTCACTCAAAACGTTGAAGACAATATTGTCTTTATTTCTCATACTAATCCGATATAGGAATATTCGTCGAAACTTCAGTCCCCACACCTCCCCTCCGGTCACCGAAACCCACATGAAAGTTGCATTCATTAAGGACCTGTTTGGTCCAAGGAAAATGGAGAAGGAAGAAGAAAGCAAATTTTAATGAGCTCAATGCGTTAAAAGCTTTTAATTAAATTCTTTTTTATATCTTACATCTTCTCTTTATCAAAATTTCAGCTCTATTTTTTAATTTTTTAAATTCAACTTATTAAAATTTTTTCTCAACTCCAATTTTCTTTTACCAAAAATATTGGGCACTAGACGGCTCGACCCGCCCTTCGGGGCAATGACCTGAAAGTTGCAGTTACCGAGTCAACGTTTAGACACTTATCTGCCAACTCTCAGTAAATGGAACGCATGTGCTTCAATTTGTTTTGATTGGATGTCGGTGTTGTTTCTTTCTTTCTTTCTTTTCATCGTCAAGTGAAAATTACTTGGCTAATTAATGACCATTAGATCAGAATTTTTAAATCTTGACCAACAAA